TGAGTAGTTGTTGCAACTTTTTATATACATATATTATGCCAGTTAAATTGGTGTTGTTTCAAGATCATTTTTCATATTATTGTTAATATTCCCTACCTGCCCTTTGAATTCATCTTTAAAATCATCTTCAAAGACGTGAAGAAAAAGAGTTTCATAAAAGCTCAAGATCCTTTTTCAAATTAATGTTATTATTCCCTAATTTCCATCTAAATTCGTCTTTAAAATCTTCTTTAGCCTAAATTGGTTACCATTTGGCAGAAAGAGAGTAAAAGCATTTGACAATATTTTTACTTTTGCAACCCCCCTAGTTTGAAGTGGAGAAGAACAAAAACGGGGAAAATGAAAGACAACACCACAGAAACTAATTGGAAACTAAAATAGACACTAAGTTTAAAATATGTCCACACAACCAAAAATTGCTCTGTATCAATCCCAATAACTTTATCAATTGTTTGGTATCGATGTTCGATAGTAGTTTGGGTTGCAAAATGGCCTAACCCATCCTCTGAGGGCCTAAGAATTAAATAAGCAAGCAAACTAAAAGAAATAACAATATAATATATAAATGACGAAAAACATAACAAACACGTGTTTACATGGGATGTACACTTTTTCATAGAACTGATTCTCTGAAGACCGTGCCTGCAAGAAAAATGAATTAAAATTATAATTTGAAGGAATAACAAAAATCTTGGGTGAGATTATTGAGGAGATTGCATCAGCCATGCTTTATATAAGGATGAGAGGAAACTAACTTTGAGAGGGTGAAGGTCAGCCTTGAGATCGAGGGAGACACGTTCATTATATTCATCCAAGATGGTTGTATGTTGATTGCTATTGTTGTAATCATCTTCCCTTTTCCCTCCAATGGATTCCATATGTACCTCCGAAGCCCTAATAGCTTCTTCTATTAAACTTCCTATCAATTGCCATGAGCTATAGACATAATAAAAATGACAAAAGTGCCAGAATATAAAACTACACACTTAAGTACATGAACAAATGTGATATTATACAAAAGACGTAGCATACTAAGAACACTATGATTTATACACACTCCATTTAGTCTCTTGTACAGCAATTTGAGTTACAAAGTTTAAAATGAATCTTACTTGTTCGTTTTTCAGATGAGTGACCTCTCCTTTTAATGTCTCCATTACAGCTCGAAGTCATGCTGCTGGATCCATCTCTGCAATCTTGGTATCCGACTCAAACATAACCCAACCAACTTTTACTTTTTCAAAATAAACTCTGATTAACCAAAAAATAAAAATAATAATAAAAAAAAAAAACAACCAAAACTCAACTCGTTTTATATCTAATGCATTAGATATCTGAGAAAATATAAAACAAGTTGAGTTTTGGCTGTATCTGGGAAAATAAAGATAGTCCACACACTAAAGAGACAAATGTTTAGAAATACACAATATACCAACCACTCTTTGTGTCCTTGCCAGCCATCTTGATTGAGCATCTTAACATCTATAACAAAACCAATAACCGCCTTTGTTGCCGCTAGCGTATGCTCGTCACGTCAACCCACCCTTTAAAAACCGAACCAAACCCGCCTTCCCCAATGACACTGTCCAGGCGGCGGTTCTTTGTAGCCGCCTTGAGATCACCGAACGTGAAGCTCTTCATGTTGGATGACTGAAGTATTCTGTTCCAGAAGTCATGGGCTCGGATGCCTGACACTTTTGCTGCTCGAGTAGCTTGACTCGGGCTCATCTCCGTCATTGGTTTCGACGATGGAATCAGTTCATGTATGAATTATACTCCTTCATGGAAAACAAGATCAAGAATATTATCTCTAGAAGGAAAAATTACAGAAGAATAAATGTATGAAAATATTATCAAAAAATATATTAAAAAAAACATAGAAATAAAAGAAAAGTCAACCGTTGATTCTAAATCTTAATTACAAGAATATATGTCATGGATCAAGAATTTTAGTTCATTAAAGGGAGATCTCTTTGTGTGCATCAAGAATCAAAGACCAGGAAAAACAAAAAATATCACCGTCGTTTATTGGAGAATATATTCTCGTTTGAATTTATACCATTTTTTTTTTTCGAGAAAACATCAGCAACAAATATGCTGCCCGAATCACACCATCCCGCCAAAATATCCCTATCTGAACACTACAAAATGGAAATGGGAAAACTAAGATTTGAGATCTTTCTAAAACGAGTTCAACGTGCAGCATTCTCACAAATGCAGTAAATTTACGAGCACGCAAAAAAAAAAAAAGACGACTATCTATCTGATGGAGACGAGATCGCCCTCGCTTATTTGGCGAAATACGATCCCCTTCGGGTTTAGAATGCATGAATAATTATTGTTTTATCTATTCCTTTTATTTCCTTGTTTTTATTTATTTAAATTAGGAGGATTATTATTCTTGGCTAGCAAGTAAGATTTAGATGGTAAGGACTCTTCTATTATTTATCTAGTATCTCGTGCTTTGTTGAAACAGACTACGATGAATAAAAATTATTTGATTTGAGAACTCTTCTCTTGTTTCCTTCATTCTTCGTTGCGCCTACATCAGCTGGTATCCAGAGACCAGGACGTTCCAAATGTCGCCGAAACGAGACACTGCAGATGATCGTCGTGATGCCGCGATTGAGTCCTTGACTCGACAATCCGAAGGGTACGGACGTCAATTTCAGGCAATCGGGGGAGAGATGGCAAACCTTACGACAGGCATGGAGGACATTCGTTTGGCTCTCCAGACGATGATGCAACACGATGGTACGAACCGCGACAGGCTCGACGGTAAGGGCGGCGGTCGCGGAGGGCTTCGTGGGGGCCGCGGGGGTCGCGGTCCGATGAGGGGTGGTGGCAGGCGAATGGCGGCGCACGAGGAGGAGGAGGACGCCGAATCTGATGCCACGGTGGAGGAGTTCAATCCATTTGGCCTAGTTGATCCACAAGACAAAGAGGACGCACTCAGTGACAAGCGCTGGGAAAGTTCTTTTCGGGTAGACATCCCGGAGTTTACGGGTGGACTCGACGCAGCCGAATTTCTCGACTGGGTGGCGGCGGTCGAGGCTGTTTTGGATTTCAAGGCGGTGCCGGACGAGAAGAAAGTTGGTCTCGTCGCAACACGCCTTCGAGGACGCGCAGCAGCATGGTGGCTGCAACTTAAGGGCTCACGCCATCGAATGGGTAAGTCGAAAATCGTCTCTTGGCCCAAGTTTCGTAAGCACATAGAACAAGAGTTTTTACCATTCAATTATGTTCGTACTATGTATCAAAAATTGCAAAATCCTCGGCAAGGGACGCGGTCGGTTGATGAATATACCGAGGAGTTTTACAAGCTCCTTACGAGGGTTGATATTCGCGAAACCACGGACCAGTTGGTGTCTCGATATATTGGCGGGCTGAGTTTGGCGATTGGGGATACCTTAAATTTGTTCGCGC